AGACAGTTGAAGAATTCTCCTTAGGGGTCCCCTGTAGCTCCTTTTAGGATTTCTGGTAGCCAAAATGCATTTTTTACTCAGAACTCCAGTGCCTTTAGCCCTACCAATAGCAACAAATCAAAATCTTTTAGCAAGAGGCAGTGGGAAAGGCAGGAAAGAACAGCTTCCCTGAGGGTTAGCTGCATCCTGTTTCCTTAAGGCATGTAAAGCTTGGGTAATGAAAGGGGAGAGGGGGTTCAGGCAAGGCTGGAGGATGAGAGGTTCTGGAGGTTCAAGAGAGCCATGAAGCTGCTGCAGAAATACTGGAAAGTGTATGGGGCACCAGTGCTGCTTGTGATAAAACTGGTACCTCCAAACAAGAGAGATACTCTTGTTCCCTAATGCTTCCCTCTGCACAGTCAAGCAACTTTTGAGGAGCCAGGGCTCTTGTTTTAAATAGGTTTCTGACCATCACAGTCGTGGTAGAAATATAGAATGTTCTGAAATACAGACTCAAGAAACTTCTTTCTGGTGGTGGGAGAGGAACCCTTACCTTGCCAGTTCTGAAACTTGGCTTGTGGTCACTGGGCACCTGAGGTGGTCACTGAGCAGGAAAGGACAAGGCACTGCACTTAATAAAGAAGTGAAATCCTCACCAGCAATGGACAGGGTTACATTCTGATTCCTGTCCTAAGCTCTCTCCTTCTGGAAAAATTTATTTTAGTCTCTCCCCTGTATCTAAACCATACTAATGAAAAAAGTATTCTTCCAGTTAAAAAATCACAAACAAGTAGAGAAATCTCCATTGTGCTAATGATAAAATAACTTGCAGTGAGAGGTGGCATGATTTATACTTATTTTTGGCAAATATTCTAGACACCATTTATATTAGTACCAGGTTAAAAGTGTCTGATTGCTACTGTTATTGCTAGAGCTAAGTTAGATAAAAGGAATAATCACTCATGATAGGACTGAAATGGGCTGTACACTGCTTGAAAGTTTCATTTGTACAGATTCTGGACAGTTTAATGGAGTTTAAAATGCTGTTTATTGCCATTTCAGTGGGCCATTCAAGTGAGCACTATAGAGCCTGTTACCATCAGTTACCTAAAACCTGCTTATATCAGCTACATACCTATGGTAAGTAGTGTGAATATGCATAGATTATGTACATATAAACTCAAATGGTACTCTACATGCAATTAGATATGTACTGTAAATCATTCTGAACTGGAGCTTTACTATGATACACAACCCTGAGATATCTGTTTCAGCTATACAAACCTGCTGGGGGAACACCAGGGCTGAGCAATCAGCTGGGTAAAGTCAATGTTAACTGCATTCCTGGGCTCTGAGATTTAATTAAAATTGCTGGAGCCTGTGGAGCTGGAAGTGTAATGTCAGTGCTGTGTTCTCTTCCCCACTTCAAAAATATACCGTTGTAGAATCTGGCAGGGAAAGCACAAAGTTTAAACAATCAGTGAATTGTTTTTGTGGATTGACTTCTTAAGCTAGGTGATCAGGTAAACTGACATCTCAATACTGTCACCATTTGCTCTTCATAACTGAAACAGCTTCTCAACTGCTTTGTGTCATGTTCCCTTGTGTCTGAAAAATGTTACCTTACATGTCAATCCATCAGCTTTTAGCAGCTTGCCCTTTGAAAATCCCATTCTTCTGAAATTTCTTGGCTTCCTCTCTACTGCCTCCAGTTATTAATAAGGAATTGTGATTATTTCAATCTCAGACTTGTTTGATCTCTTAAATACCTCAGACTTAGCTACTGAATGCTGCAGTAATACTGAAGGTTTTTAACAAGCCAGGGATAAGTCAGGATGGCTACAAAAACAATGGCTTGAGGATTTTAGAAGTTACTTTCTGAGCTCCTTTTGCAGAAATTCTCTTTACAATACCCTTAGAAACACATGGGACAGTGAGGTAGAGGTGAGGATAATAGAAATAAAACCTGTGAGGTTCTTAGGGGTTTTGTTAGGGCTTTTTGTTTGAATGTTTGAGTGTTTTTGTTTTAGTTTGTTTGTTCAGGTTTTTGTTGTGGGCTTTTTTTTGTGTGGGAGGGTTGTTTGTTTCTTTGAAGGGGCAGAGTAGATTGTTATAAAATCTTGAGATAGGGAAATAAATTCCTATCTAGAACTCTTGTAAGCAGCTGTTCTTCAGGCTGAGCAGAACTGAGCAAGGAACTGGGTATTGGCTGCCAAGAGCTTACATGTACTCCTCTGGAGTGTAACATGCTTCTGCTATGAATAATTTTAAATTTAAAATAGCAAAAACAAAAAAGCTGGACCCATTCTTCTCAACTACACTTTGTACTAACAAAGCTGGAGGAGCTGCTCAGTAATCGTATCTGGCAAGAAAAACTATTTCTAAATGTGAATCAAGTCCAACAGAAAACAAAAATTTGACTTGTGACTACAGGCTGTGAAGGGAAAAATACTTATCCCAGTGTGGTGCTAAAATTAATTCTTCATAATTGCAAAAATTTCTCATCAAGTTATAACAAAAAGTTACTATTTGGAATACTTGTTTTATCTTAAGGTTTGAAGCCATATGAGATACTGAACACTGTGAAAACAAGCAAAGCCAGTATCTGGACACTGCATGCAGACTGCTTTTTAACTCCCCTGAAGGATTCCAGATCATGGACCCTTAAGGCTTGGTCCAAGTCTATGTGATTTATTGTCCTAAAATTGCTGAGAGCTGCTCATGGCTTTTGCTTGGGATAGAAATGCTGGGGATGAAGGTGAATGCTGAGTATCTGAAGGATGTAGTAAATGGATCTTATTTTAACTGTCATTCCATTTGCACTCCCAGGGTTGGAAAATAGCTTAGGCAGACTTGTCTTTGTTGGTTCATATCTCATTATTCACATCACAAATGCCAAGGATTAGAGAAGAAATACTAGGGTTGAAAATAGCTCATGTAGAAACTTCTTAGTGGTCAGAATCAAAGAATTGGGAGGCAACAAAAGATGAAAATAATATGGCTGTGTCAGTATGTGGCAATGTCATGTCCTCCTGGGAACAGACTAAGAGAAAATACCTTAGTAATACATGCAGTTTTCATCTGCCTCGTCTGCCTCCACCCTTGTAATTTTCTCAGCTGACAATGTTCTACAAGTTTATAAGATGCCTCAGTCATCATCTTCTTGCCATTTCTTTGGTTTGACTTCTCCTTTCCTATAATTTTCTATGTCAAGCATTCTTTATCTGTGTTTAAATTGGCAGCAGCAGCGAGCAGGCTTTTGGCACAGCCACAATTGCTTCTAAACAATGGTAGTAATCTTCTCCCCCCTAGGGACAGGAGAGCAGGCAGAGCTGTGGGGGTTTCCTCCCCTTGAGCTACCCTGCTTTTGTGCTTAGCGGTGAGGAGTGCTGGCTTGTCCCTGTGCAGGGACACAAGGACCCTGCCTGCTGACATGTGGGTTCAGGAGTGGAGCCCTAATCCCCTGCAGGTGGGAAACGTGGGGAGTGCTGCTGAGGATTACTCACAAGTTGTGTTATCAGAGCAAGCACTGTGTGGGAATTGCAGGCTCATGCTGTTGACAGCAGAGGGATGTGGCCAGGAGGAGTGAGCACTGGGATGCTGTCCAACTCCTTTGCAGCCGCTAGAGCCAGCCTGCCTTCAGCACCTGTACTCAGGGTTGCCTGCAGGAAGAGAAATGATGTTCCACTTTGCTCTAGCAATCTATCTCAGGGAGGTTTGGCTCTCCAATTTGTTGTATTTTCTCCTTCTCAAATTTGTGTGAGCATGAAAAGAGGGAAAGAGCGGCAGCTGTACCCATCAGAGGAACCAGGTGAGCCAGACACCTTGCAAAATGTATCAGACAAAAGAAACCTGTATGATTTCTGCAGTTCATTTGCCTTTTCCTGTAGACAGACTGTATATGGGTGTCTAACAATTTTGTTTTTACCTTTTGTTTTCTGAAACACCCATTCTAATAATAAAATGTATGACACATGAAGCCCAATTAAAGACACTGAGATTAGGTCAAGGTGGTGTTTAATTTGATTAAGGACTGTAAAATTGGATGGTAAGCATTTACTGAATAACTGCCATGGGATGCTTGAAGGTGGTTCAAGATGATGGAACCTTTGGGTGTTACATCCTCTATATGTTAAACAGGGCAATGTTCCAAGATTCTGGAGCTCTTGATCAATTCTTCAGCAAACCACACTGGTATCTTCCTTTACTCCTCTCCATAGTGGGGGAAATAATTTGTAGGAAGTGTAAGTTTTTGCATTAAGTTACCAGTCAAGTTAATCCAATTCATTAAAATAATGCCTTATAGCTGTTGATGCTGTTGAATTTTGATAATTGAAACAGCTAAACCTAAATTTTTAGGTCTTTTAACTAAGAGTAGGCTAAAGGTCTTTGAAATTTTTCTTAATGTTCAAGTTTGAGCTGTCACAAGGAAGAGATGAGCTGCTTAATGTTTAACTAAAGATTACTTAGTTGATCGCTTGCATATTTTCTTCATGTTTTGGCCTATGGAAGGCCTGTTCATTATTTCAGAATGCCTTGGCTCCAGTCCATCTGCAAGACCTCATTTTTCTTTTGAAATTTGTAGTCTTCACAAGCTTGGCATCTGTGATATCACAAACAATGAATTACTGTAGCTGCAAGTCTCTGGAATTAAAAACCCCACCTCCGTAAGAGCATATTTTTTTTTACAGAATTGGGATTTGTTCTGAGGAAACACAGTTGACAAAAAAAAGGTTTTCTAAGATAACAGATTTTTCATCTTCTGATGGAAAAATGAACCGAAGTCCTGATGCTGAGGACTTGCTCTTTAAATAAATGGGATCTTTCTCTCCTCTCTTGGCAACAGCAGGAGTATTCTTGTGCTCTATGACAAGGCTAGCTGGTGCTATATTTGTCTTGTAGCTGTACACACATTTGCAAGAGGTTGTTTAATAAGAGAAAGGCAAAAAGCCAATACAGTTTGAAGAAAGTTTATTCTACCACAGCCTGAACTTTCTGGGTTGGCTTAAAGACAAGGCTACATACTTGTGGAGGATCAGGGAATATCATTACTGATATGAAATTAAAACTTTCCTGAGTTGTCTCTGGAAAGCTCTGTGGAGAAGGAGGGGGGCCTGGGGGTGTGACACAACAGACGTTTTTAAAATGGAGTTCAGTAGATGTTTGGGTGCACCAGCAGAAGAGGAGGAAGGAAGACAAGAGGGTGGGGAAGAAGATATTAATAATGCTGGCAGTTGTGCTGTCCATGAAGAGCTGGATTTGGGACAAATGTACCTTACCTGTTTGCCTGAGCAATATATGAGAGTGAAGCTCACTCAGACAGTGTACCTGATATGCTGGCTGCTGCTGGAACTCTGCAAGGTAAGAAATTTCAGTACAAGTCTGTGATATTTTTAGTTAACTTTTTATGTGCTTAAAATACAGATTGATCAAAATCTCTTCTGAAGGATTTGAGAATTCATTGCTATGTACCATGCAGTTTCTTTCATAGTTTATTAGTAGCAGTAATTTTGTAAATATTGATGTTGTACCCCAAAACAGGAGATCTATCAAGGGAAAATTTGTAAGGGCTACTCATGGAGTACTACAAGAAGCAATACATTAGTAATTGCTAGCCAGTTTATCTCTGTACACTTTTAGATAATTACAAGTGTTTCAAAATTATTTTAGATTAATTTCTATGTGCAATTTCTTCTCATGTTCTTCGCTGATTTACATTAATTTCTTGTGTTGGATGAGCACTAGAATGTATTTATAAAATTCTTTATAAAAGTAAAGAATTGGGTGAGGGTTTGGAACATTTTTCAAATATAATGGAGTTTTTGAAGTTGTGGTGGGACTGATTTTAAATTTGATCTGGCCACATATAATAAAAATATTTTTGCCTGATGTATTACTGGATAGGAACAAGACAATGGAACAGGTATAAAAACTATAGTTCCTTCAATTTAATTCCTTGCAGAAAGCTACTGTAATGGTCAGGTCCAAGCAGAGAAACATTGAATTCTGCAGAAGTGATATGATTTAAGGTTTTATGTTTAAGCAGGGAAGCAGTGAGACATTTGAGCTTCAAATGCTGCTGGTTCCAATGGTGTAACAAGGCTATATTGGTTAATTTAGAATGTGCAATAGATCTTTGTTTTTCTGTTTGTGCATTCAAATCTTACTGTGGTAGGCATTTAGTTGATGGACGGATCACCATACAGATCAAAACAAGTGTCAAGGCAATATTTACTGGCTGGTTTTTCTTCAGAAGTATGTGAGTTCTGAAGAAGAAGGAGAGGAGGTCCATGATGAGGATGGGGTGGAGACCACAGGAGTGGGACCAGGTGGTGCCTCAGCAGCAGCAAGCCCTCTCTTCTATGTGCATGGCAGCTTTGGGGCAGTAGCTGCATCAGGTTTTTTGACAGCATAAAATAAAACATCAAAATGTAAACTGAACACCACTAACTGAGTTATGTGTTGGATTGCTAGAGAGCTTTGTTATACGCATATTCCATATTTGTAATGTCTTTGCTCTTGTCTGTATGTAGCATTTATCCTGTGGTGCCAATTGCTTGCATTAGGGGGCAGAGAGAGACCCTTTCATAGCACTTTTTCTGGTATTTTTTCTGCAGGGATCTTTTGTGAGGCTGACTGAAAAGGGCTAGGCATCCACACAGCTGTGGGGATGGAGAAAACAGCCCCAGGGCAGATGCCAGAGCCAACTTGTGAGGCAGAGTCCTGGTCAACACACACTTCCAGATGGTTTTGAGGAGTGCTGGTCCAGGCTGGGGAAGGTTGCACCTTGTCTGGTTGCAGATTCATTTGATTGGTTCTCTTGTGGTTTGAACTATTTACAACCATTGAGTTTGTAGGTTTTAAGAGCCGTGCTTATATTACAGAAAGAGGCAGAAACTCATTTGTGGCTACAAACCTAGGTTTGCTTTGGGTGTGTGCAACAGCTTCAGTCCCCAGGACTCATTGCCTGTGCAGAGATTTTTTTGTATATTAATTGTGAAGTGTGCACAAATGTTGAGTGGTCTGCACATGATGAATCCCCAGGACTCTGCATGTTCAGAGATTTTTTAATATATTAATTGTGAAGTGTGCACAAAATGTTGAGTGGTTTGCACAAAATGAGTCCCCAGGATTCTGCCTGTGCAGAGATTTTTAAATATATTAATTGTGAAGTGTGCACAAAATGTTGAGTGGTCTGCACACAATGGCTTTGCACAACGTGCATGAGGTATTCTATGGGATAAATGGTTGTTCCATTTTTTTGGATAGTTTCTTGGACAACAGGAAGAATTCTTAAAGTACATACGCTAAAAGATATTTTTCTGTCTGTGATTTTATGTGCTTGCATACAGCCTGCTATTTGCACAGTGCATTTAATTGTTTCAAGTTAGGAAGAAACAACTCATACTACTATAAAGCAGAGTAAGGAGAGGTAATGTAGCTTTTGTTGAAATCACAAATTTCTTCAGAAAGCTTTCTGAGAACGTTACAATGCCCTGGCTAAGCCAAGAGGATAACTAAACCTCTAATTTATTAATGCTTCTTTCTTGCTGAGCTTTCTTAAAGACTGTTTAGATTTGAGACCTCACTTTCTTATTTCCTGACACTCTTCCATGACTTAAATCTCTTCCAAGTCCAAATCCATTCAAAAAGTGCTAATTTTTTTCTCCTTCCCCTTCACTAGAACAAAACCAGCACAGTGTTTCTTTTTCTCAGGTTCTGCAGCTTGGCAGAACCCAGCAATGCTGCTGCAGTGGGAGGGGAGGGAAGGCCAGCAGCACTGGAATGGTGCTGCTGTGTTACAGAGGCACCTTTGTAACAGCTTGTGTGCATCCCTCATACATCCAAATGTTTGCAGCTCTTGGCTACAGACAGGGCCCCAGGTGCTCATGGCTTGGAAAATATCAGTGACTCCCTGTAACTCCTTATCAGTATCAGTGCTCCCCAGACAGAATTATGTGTCCTTTGTGTCAGGGGAGCTCACCCTTCTGTAAATTAACACGGACAGAAGGAGGAGAGACTGTGTTTAGCAGGTGAGAAACCAATCTGAGTGGGCTTTCATGCAGCTTGACATGAAGTTTAGTTACAAAATAATCAAATTCCACCAACATGCCATGGGAACAAGTGCAATAAGCCTGTCAGCGTTCAGGAAACATCTTTGTAGACATCTGGGAAATTTCCCACTCCTGTTTCCCTGAGGGAGGCTTCCATTTTCAGAGGTCACCATGACTTGTGGGGATGAGGGAAGAGACTTCAAATCCTTCTTTTAATTCAGAATTAACATAAATTTAGTTGACTTGATTCTGTTTCAATCATTTACCATATTTCAGTAATATTCTCTACCTTTGAATATCAAAACCAGCTGGTGATTTCCCTGTTATTTATTATACCATAAACATTTTCTGTCAGCTCACCTGGTATTTTTTAAACAGTCTGAAATCTGTACAAAAGGCAAAACAATGGTGAAACAAACCTTTAATTCAATTTCTTGTCTCTGTATTTTTGAGTGCTGGGTTGTACAGAGCTTCCAACTGCTCTTGCTATGAACTTCTACATGTCATGTAATGCATGAGAATGGATCCCAAGTGAAATATTAAATCACTTTCCTACAGTTTAGGGCACAGGGCCTTAATTCTTGGCTTTTCAATAGATGTATCACTCTGTGTTCATAATCTTGCTGTCCTTGGCTCAGCTCATTGCCTGTAAAGGGAATAGGAAATTAGTTTGATTTTATTTCTTAATTTATTTTGATTTTTTTCTTCTGATTATAAACAGTGTAGGAGTGGACTATCTTCCTGTAATTATGGGCAATGGTCAGCCTGTGCAACAGTATGGGATGAATCCTTTCCTAGGGAAAAGAGGAAATCTGGTTTTCCTATAATATGAATGAATTTTCTAGCCATTAGCCTGTGCTCACAAGGAAGTGTAGGGGCACTTCTGCCTTCTTTTGCCACCCTTTGAGGAAAAAAAGGGTGCAGGGAGTCAATTATGACCTCTTTCTTAGGTGCTGACTCCTAAAAATCTTCAGTGAAATTGTGGCTGCTTCTGGAGGTGACACTTGTGTTTTCATACCACAGGCTGGAAGCTCTAAGATATGGGTGTTTTCTTCAGGAGAGGGTCTTCTCTGGATTCCAAAGCACAGCCCCTAAGGAAATGGTCCAGTGAAGGGGGATAAGATTATCAGATATATCTTCTTGTAACAATTTTGTAGTGGTTAGATGCAATTGTTGCCTGCCAAATATGCTACTACTCTGGTTATAACACTCTCCATGTACTCTGACAACATGTAACTACTGTTTTAAGCATGAGAATGTTCAGTCTGGAAAACCAAATTTGAGGTTCCTCTGTTTTTTTGAGTTCTTTTTCACCATGACTTATTATGGTTATAGGAAGATTTTGACAGAAGAAGGGGCTGGGCCTTGGTACACAGAGTGTGGGACAGGGGTTTTACCAGTGGACAAGAATTGACCAAGAATTCTGTGAGGGGACCTGGCTGACTCCCTTCACAGCTATTTTCCAGCTACCTTAAGTGTTTGTTGGAAATTACATGGTGGGTGTGGTTTTGTTTGTTCGTTTGTTTGGTTTTGACTTTTTTGTGGGTTTTTGTTGGTTTTGTTGTTGTTGGTTTTAGACTTGTTTGTTTTTATTATTTTCTATACTTACATGTTCTTGCTGCATCTCTAACTCCTTCCCAAAAATTTTTGAACATTCTGGTCAATCTCAGCAAAATTTGAGTGGGGCAGAAGTTAGCAGAGTTCACAAGTAGGTAGTCAGGGAATGAAAATAGACTTAGCTAATGCTCCTCCTGAGGGAAAGGGTCCTTCATAAAACTGTCCCTTATTAAACATCAGAAATTTGGTAAAATTATTCCATTTCCACACCGGAGAACTGCAGAGCTGTAGGAAAGAGGACTCTGTTGGGTCAGCTGCTTGCAGAAATACTTGTTTTCTCAGTAAAGTGTTTTTTGTTTGGCTATTAATGGAACTCCACTGAAGCCTACTGTTTGTCTTCAGTCCTCAGAGTAAAAGCCAAGAAGTGGCTTTAAGAAGTGCAACTTGAGACAGCTAAAGAGGGATGTTTTGCAGAAAGCTTTAAACATTCCCTTCACTCCCCTTTGGAACACTGACTTTTTAAGCTTTCAGCCAGAAAAATCAACCTCCTTTCACGGATTTGGTCAAAACTTCCAATGTTCTATTCAAGGTCAGTCTCTGAGGGCAAACAGACTGATTAGATACACTTAACTCCTAAAACATCATAAGCTGTTCTGTGGGGCTTGTTTTGTTTAGGAGTAATATTTCTGAATCTGTTTTCCTTTAATTTGTGCTCTAATTATCTGGATTCCTTTGGGCCAGAAATATTTA